GGGGGGGGGGGGGGGGGAGGCCTGGAGTTGTTATGGGCATGTCTGCATCTCTAAAACAAGGAAAGGGAATGACTGAAAAAAAGATGCACTGTGGATATTTTCCCACCGTTGAAGAATACATCGTGATTTTGCCTTGCACTGTTACATTCACAGACTAGTACATTCACACACCCAGAAAATCATAGTCCTCTGCCTCCATTTTTTTGTCTTTCTTTTGTTCTGTTCTCCCACTAGCCCACACTCTTGCTTCATCTATTATTTCATTTCTGTCAGTGAATCTCTCCCCCTGCCCCTCTGTCTCACTCTTCCTCTTTTTCCCCCTTCCCTCCTTTACTTTCTCCCTCCCTCCCTCCCTCTTCCCATCTTTGCATGTGCCACTTTCAATTGAAGTGATATGCCCTGTGGCAAACTCTGCCTCTGTGTGCTCGAGCAGGCTTTGTTGGTAATGGCTGTTATTCCTGACGCAAGGGGAGGAGTGTAAATTCCTCCAGCAAAGCCTTACACCAGCATGCATGGGAATTATATTGTACTGTATTGTGGAACAATACATCAAACCCCCAACGCACGGCCTCCATAGGTTATTTATAATAATTATCAGCCTTAAATCCTATGCTGAATCTCTCACCAACACTCCCACAAGAAATCAAGTCTCCCTTTTCACTCTCACAAGTAATGTATCATTGTTGCCTCTGCAGATGATTTTACAGTAAATTGGATCCCTGTTAGTATTGAACCAATTTCTTTGCCTCCATACAAATGTAGTCGGTTGGTATTTTAGGCAGGCAGAGAAATGTGATATGAGAGTCTTGTCTTGTTAGCTGATTACATTAAAAGGTGGGTTGCAGCTTTTGTAATAGTTATTAGCAGTAAAACAGGTTACATATTTATCTTTATTAAACCTGAGCTGTTTTCTCTTGCAGTACTCCAGTAATATTAGTGTTGAGAGTTTTAATGTGATGCAATGCCCTGGTAGGTCAACTGAGTACAGTGAAGTTGGCTTTGTTGTGGTCAGTGTTGTGTGGAAGTAGAATGTGTGTTGTGTCTTTTTGCCCATGTGCTGCTGGGATGCCTCTCACCTCTAATTGCCCCCGTTCTCCTCTCACAGGCCCTGGAAAGCGAGTTTGTGTCATGTCAGCTGCATCAGTGGATTGACCTTATTTTCGGCTACAAGCAGCGAGGCCCGGAAGCAGTGCGTGCCCTCAACGTCTTTCACTACCTGACTTACGAGAACTCCGTCAAGCTGGACAGTATCACTGACCCTTTGCTCAGAGAGGTAAGGCACACACACATCGCCATGGAGACAAAGCCCCTCCCCCCTCTCTCTTCCCCACCAGAGGCACAGCTTCCTTTCTCTATTTGTCCTGGCATGTGTTGGAGCTCCGGGAGCATTCATATCACGCATCTGTCAATCAATTATTGTGTCACGCAAATGTAACCCGTGAGAGAATTTGGCAGAGCTGCTGACTCATCATCTTGTTTTGGGATTAGTGTCATTTTGTGATGAACCGGGTTATTAATTTCCTCTCTCTCTCAGATAAACAGTAATTTTTTCATATCTGTCCACATTATTCATAGATCCTCTTAACATCACATCGTGGGCTTTTTTTCTTTCACATGCTGAATATACTGTATGTTGTTCGCTATAAACAGATCAATAAATCTGACTGAGCTCTATGATCAATCAACAGGGGTCACGAAGTCAATATGTGAGGGAGTGAATCCTCTTGTTCTTCAGCAATTAATTGAATATCTATTAGCTCGGCCGTACTACTCGTGAATAGCTTAATTGCGCAGAAGCGAAAGGGGACCAGAGACTGCAGCAGCTGGCATGCATTGTGGTACTTTCAGTTTGAGCTTGTCTCCTCCTGTGATATCCACCATCTGCTGTCTGCAAAACAAGTCATTTATATACTGTCACTTCCAGGGGCGCCTTTATTTATCAAGTGACCACTATGCAAATCACCTGCAGAAGATGTGGCTGATCTAATTACCAAACCATATTGTGAAAGGTTTGGTTTCCACCATTTCCAGGAAGATTTAGGTGATGCTTTCTTTATTTATCATATATCAGGCTGAGGGGATTTTAGCCCTCTTCTCCCCGCCTACTGTTACCCTGAGAGACAGTACTGTTGGTTAGTTAGTTGCACATTAGGGTCCCTGCTACTCAAACTCTCTAATTGTACCCAGCTGATGTCATTGCTATTGTGACATGTGATTGTATTTGTGCTGGAGAGAGAAACGGTCTCAGATAATTGCAACTGATCTGGTGCTCATGTGATGAGCGCTAATTGAGTCGAGCTTTCATACCTTCAATCGTGTTTCTCATTCCAGATGGATTCCTCCTCCTGTAACATAAAGTAAAACCTTGTATATGTGAACAACCTATATTTCTAAATACTAAAACATTGCAGTTTCCTGAATATGCACTATGAAGAAGTCTTTTGAAAAAGATTAACGTTTCAAAGCAGGTAATTGTAATTATACAGTAGAATTGAAAATTAAAAGATCTAATATTTGTCAAATATTCAATTGTATTGTATTACTTTAGATGGATATTTGTTTTACAGCCTGTATTGTGTACAGTATTTCTTTAGGCTGATCAGATTACATCAGTTTGACTATACTTTGATCACCTACTATGCAATACATTAAGTTGAGTTTCCTGCACAGAATGGGATCATTAAGGTAATTTAGTAGGCAATTTCCTACAATATTTAGTGTGGCATTATTCACAATATGATCTACCTCTCCTTCTATCTGGCCCAGGCCAGGTCCGGGCTGATTCAGTGAGGTGGAGCATGGAAAAGTGCTCAATGAATGTCTTGCTAAGACCTGCCCAAATGTGAAGATTGACTCCAGGGTATTGATTCATTCTGGGCCTGACAGGTGAAACTGCAGATCTGGCATTAGTCATAACAATTAAGGCATTTGAAAAGTCAATAAATTGGAGGTCATGAGGGATCATTTCCGCCCGTGTGTCAGATGGAAATGATGACTCCGGCGGGCCTCTGGATGAGGGCACGGTGACAGCTCCACTGGGCACACCGCAGAAACAGCGGTCCTTCTATGTGATGCTACTCCTGACAGCCTTCTCTTATGGAAAAACATGACAGCAGCCCCTTGAATCAAACCCTGCTGTGTCACTCAGAAGTAAACAAATTATTCATCAGTGGGACTCCATTCTTCCTCCGCTGCCACCGCCCCCTCTGATTTGACAAAGACAACAAAGTGTGCTACGGCTCGCAAATGAAGGGTTTGAAGAAGCTGAGATATATTTAAATAGATTTCACCTTGATATTCTCATAGTGAAGGGACTCAAGTGTTTAAATGCTTGACCTTTATGATAAAAAAACTCCCTTCATATGTTTAACATAGAATAGGATTCAGTGTGTATTGTCACAGACGATAACTGCATTAGAAACAATCACCTACTAGTGAACATATTGTTTGGGACATTTCTGCTCCCACTATACAATAGTGCAGATGTCAACTCCCAAGCTGTCAATCAAAAAACACCCTCAGGCTAATTCTCCGTTAGTACTTAACAATTTAAATAACTCCGAGTAGGATTATACTAAAACATTGGCAAATAAAGGATGAGCAGCAGTTTCTTTACTGAGCACAGCCTCACTATACTAGGTAGTTGGGTCTGTATGGTTGCTGTGCTGCTTTGTTTCTGTTTTTGTAATTATTTCGATGCTACCTCAAAGCCAGAAGTACTTAATGAAAACAATTTGTCAAAGGGTGAAAGCTTCATATTTGTAGTTGCCATGTGATCTCAGGTGTCGTGAGTCAGCATGATCCCACGCTGCTTAGTAGGTCACTGCAAGGCCGTGTTTGCATTCTGTCTGACAGAGCTGTTGTGTTTCTGCGTTGCATGAGTGCACTGGAGGATGCTGTTGGGGATCATCCTCCATGGAGTCTCTCTGTCACCAGTCTGGGAACCAGGCAGCAGATAGAGAGCGGAGCAGCTACTCACCTCCGAAGCCTTTTGCTCATGCCAAAATCGGATGCAAACAAAGTCACACAGACAGACATTCAGACACAGTGTGTTATGATGGATGTTTGGTGCTCACCCAAGCAAGGTGGTTGTTGCTGTGGGGGGAAGATCATCCAGATGGCTTTGGCAATAAGTGTCACTTATCAGCCAAAAAGCAGAGCCTGAAGTGACTTAAACTAATGAACTGCCTGTTAAGTGCTCTCCATCTCAGGCTGAGGTAGAGATACGTTTCTGACATACCTCACAGAGGATTACTGTCCAAGCTCCTCAGAGATATTGACATATTTTGATCATCTAGTGGAGGAACATGTTCTTGAGTTAACCTTTAACAAGTCCTACACCCCTTAGCCCGACACATACAAAAACACAGACAAATCTTCCTCCCCGCACTCTGGGAACCATCTTTGGGCGTCAAACGTTGTCTGAGACTACAGAAGTGAGATATGCAGCAGCCCAGCGGTATTAAATCATCACAAGAAATGTGGTGATGTTTTGCACATGGCCTCCTCAGCCTTTCTGATCTTAGTATCACGTTTCGTTATTTGAATAGACATTGTGACCTTCACCCTAACCTTAAATAGCCATAATTTCAGATGCTTATTACTTGAAAGACTGCGCTGTAAAGATCACTGACTAGCACTTAATGGTTGCCAAATGGGCTCAGCAACTCACATGAAACTTTCACTGCTGTGCGACAGCTCCTTTTTTGGTGCTGTGGAAGATAGGAAGTGACCAGGGGGTGTTGGGGGCGACTGCTTGGCTTGCAGGTGGCCTGTCCTTATTCAGTATCACCTCCAAACTTCGCTAGCCACATCTCCCTCTGTGGCATGTGCTACCCAATAGCTCATTTTGATAGTGAGTTGTGTGTACAGGCGAAGAAAATGAGGGCTAGTCACCCCGGCAGTCAGAAGGGCGGGCGAGGGGCTGAGCGATGTATGTTCCATTGTGCACAGTGGCAGTGACGGACATCTACAAGCTCCCCTCTGATGGTGGAAGTGGCTCCAGTCACATCAATCACTCCCATCGAGTGCCCCACTTTCAGTCAAGCTCAGCAGCTCTTCCTGCTTGTTTTTTCCTCACTTACGGATGGCAGGGGAGATATTTGTCCTTTAAATGGAAGTTATTTTCCTATAATAGTAAAGGCTTGATTCTTCCTATGTGTCTTTTTGTTTGTCACTTCTTTTTCCTTTCTTTTCCTTCTTAGTCTCAAGCATCCATTCTCCCTTTTCTCCCCATAAATCATCCCTCATCAAGGAACCCGGTGCCAAATTACCTTGGTCTGCTGTGTGATTGTGTGCTTCTGTTGCAAACGTATGTGTGTGTACATGGACATGCTTTTCTCCTTTGTTTCAAACACAATAACATCTAAAAGCAAGCCGGCCTGCTGCAGTCCTAGCTGCATGTCACTCCAGGTTAACGTTTATGCAGCGGGGGCCCCTGCGCCTGGAAATGGGAATGGTTAACTGAAGCATGTTAATAGGAAAAGGCTTGTCTCTTCCATACTAACACTTGGATGACTCTGCAGGCTGAGGGGGGGAGGGGGAGCACCCAGGCGGATTGGGAGTGCTCCCCTCTCCCTTTACCTCCCCCTTTTCTCAGAAGCACGGCTGAGTTAGGATTTGCTTGCATTGTCAAGTAACGCATTGACCCATCACTTTGATGCATATTGATTGTGACAGCCGCTCTCTCTCTCCCTCTCCCTCCCTCTCTCCCGCAGGCCACAGAGGCACAGATCCAGAGCATTGGACAGACGCCATCTCAGTTGCTTATTGAGCCACATCCTCCACGCAGCTCCGCCATGCACCTGGTGAGAGCAATGAGCATTCTGGGAAAATTCCCTGCACCTCTGGTGGTGGTGTGTGTGAAAGAGGATGTGTGGACCTTTGGTGGTGTGGGTTTTTGGGCCTTTGTGTGAACAAAATGAATCTTCCTGATTTCTTATTTCTACCCATTTCCTTTAATTCAATCTGTTGTGCTGACAAAAAAATGACGTTTCAGAAATCTAACATGTAGGTCACAGACACGCAATTTGACAACAATTCTCAGTTCCAGTTATCTGCACTGTTTCTAACTGTTACTGCCACCTAGCAGTGTGGTGTAAAGGGAAGAGTGCTCCCTGCTGGCCCAGTTGTTTCCTCTTTCTGCTGTAAGCTGCTCTTCCCTGTCTAATCCATGTAATAGCCAGCCTAGCCCTCATTATCCCCACATGGCTATCCCTGTTTCTCTCTCCCTTCAAGAAGCTTTGTAAGGCAGATCCCTTTGAGACCTTTTAGTTCAATTTCCTACTTTTTTCACCAGAATGTTTTCATAAAAGATGAGAGCTGAAACTGGTTTAAAACTACTAGTATTGTCACGATCCCTATTTCTTCCATCGCTTTAACTCCTGCTCCACATGTGGTTCCAACTATTGTTGTAAGGGTTGAGCTGAAAATCATAGTTGTGAAATAAGTACATCTTTAAAAACGTATGTAGTCTCTTTCATTGCTTCTTCTTTGTTGACCAAACTCAATCTGTCTGATACATGTGTATGCACCCTCACTTGAATTCAGCTCTCCTCTGTATCTGAACCTAGATCTAGCTCCAACCTTTTTCTAATTGCCTAAATACAAACCTTTTCTCCCATCTTTTCATACTTTCATCTTCTTATCCCTTCCTGCTCCATTCTCTTCCTCCTCATCTCCCACTATCACATCCCTCCACCCTTTACACTCTGTATTTTGTTTTCTTCCACAGAGTCCTCTTATGTTCAAAGACCAGATGCAGCAGGATGTCATCATGGTGTTGAAGTTTCCATCCAATTCTCCTGTAACGCATGTGGCCGCCAACACCCTGCCCCATCTTACCATCCCGGCTGTAGTCACAGTTACCTGCAGCCGTGTATTTGCTGTCAACCGATGGCACAACACCGTCGGTGAGTGAATCTCAGCACACATTCAAACATACACACATGTTTACCTGATAAAAAAATATAAAAAGTGCCACACCACATGTGATACCTACCACAGCAGCCGCCCTGTAAAATCACTTCATCACCGTCACACACAAACCTGCCCACCACTCATAATAGAGCTGTAGCCAGCTGGCTATGTGAGAGGCGAGCACCTCCTAGGTAAGCTGACCATGAGTGTTTCCACATGCTCCTTTTCAGACATGTGTGAACAACACAACCCACAGAGCCCCTCCCTGGGAATCAGCCTCACCTCAGGGTCAGAGGGCCAAAGCAATGGTTACTTGGAAATTAGGCCGCAACTGCACCACATTCTCCTCACACGTCCCCATCTGTCACTGCAGAGACACTCTGAGCTCCGGAGCAAAGAGTCCGCACTGTGTGGCTGCTAAGGCTGCTCCCACACTAATGAACACAGCTGCAGCACCCTCGCCATCCTGTCGGAGAGGAGGGAAATGTGGTTTGGCTTTTCAGAATAATGATGATAATAAGGGCTCCATATTTTCAGGCATGTTGCTGTGTTAAAACTGGCCCCAAATACAAATTGTATGGATAAAATGTCTCTATTTTAGTTTGACACAAAATGAAATCCCAGTAAGACGGATGGGAATATCTCTGATAGACCTTATGAAGGTTGTGTGTTTGTGTGTGTGTGTGTAAGAATGCACATGTGCAGACTCACAGGTGAGAAACCTCAATGATTCATTTCTGTATGCCTCCATGCATGAATCCAGGTCTCCGAGGAGCACCGGGCTACTCTCTTGAGCAGGCCCATCACCTTCCTATAGAGATGGATTCTCTTGTTGGTGAGTAAGCTTCCTGGATTTAAATGGAAAGTACAGCATCAAACAAAATAGACCATTGGCTTTAATATCTATTTTATCTTTGAGGGTCTGAGTTCTGTTCATCCTTTTTTCCCCCAGCCAACAATACAGGAAGCAACAAGCGTCAGATCACAGATCTAGTGGACCAGAGCATCCAAATCACCACACACTGTTTCGTGGTGACAGCTGACAACCGTTACATACTGGTGTGTGGCTTCTGGGACAAGAGCTTTCGTGTGTACTCCTCAGAGACAGGTAGGTTACAGTGTAAACTCTATTTGGTATAGAGGTGTGCACCGATGTGTGGAGGACTGAGCGCTATGATGGGAAAATACAGTATTGTCCCGGTTTCCTGTCGACAAGCCTTGTAGAGAAACTAATGACTACACTGTTATACATTTGAACACACTGATGCATCAAAAAGTTACTTCTCCTGCTTATTTCCTATCCATTGGTGATGATTCAGAAGGAGCAAGATGAACATATCGGTAACACACACGTTTAATTATATAAATGACTATTACTGCAGCTTGACAGGTGGCATTTACCTAATTGCTTCCAAACTTTGGGGTTACGACAACACAAGAGGTCAAGCGGATCGTAAGGATGAGGACAAAATCTGTTTATTTTTCTTTTCACATAAGAAATACTGCATGCTTTCACCCTTTCTATCCTAAAATCTTTTATGTATTAAAAACCAAGTGGATCTTGTGGTCTCTTTTAAGAGATCACAAGATAAAAAGGCTGGGAACCAATGAATTAACCATATTTGAGATATTTCTTCCACTGCTTCCTTTCTCATCTTAGGCTTTGAAAACACAGCCGGTAGTCATTTTGCCATGTTGCATTTGAGGAACTTTTGACACTAAAAACATGTTTGTACATCATTTCTTCAGGCAAGCTGACCCAGATAGTTTTTGGACACTGGGACGTGGTGACATGTCTGGCCAGATCCGAGTCTTACATCGGGGGAGACTGCTACATCGTCTCTGGGTCCAGGGACGCTACGCTGCTGCTGTGGTATTGGAGCGGACGGCACCATATTATTGGCGACAACCCCAATAACAGTGAGTATGCATGTGCTCACACATGAACACGTGTAAAGTAGCATCGCCCTCTGGACAAAGTTACAGGAATCCTCACAATGTTTAATACTTTACCAATAAAATATACTCATTGTAAAAGTCTAGAAAAAAGGTGCATGAGTTCATTGCTAGTATTTTCAACAAGTTGTATAGGAAGCACGAGCCTTTGATCATCACTGGAGAAAAAGGAATTCTCCCCTAGAAATAAAATAATGATAAGAGACAGGGAGAGGGTAATTTATCTGCACTGTAGCTGTGATATATTAGTGTGATTTATTGCATTGAGCTGTGCTTCTTTCAAGTAGAGGACTCCAGATGTCTTGGCATTCAAAATGGTAGACCCCAGTGTGTGATTTCTGCTGCTCAGTTCATTTAGTTGTTCATTCCCACTGATTGTCTGTGTTCAAAACAATCCATCAGGGTAGGGGGAAACAGACAGTACAGTACAAGTGAGTAGCACCATATATGGTGAGGAATAGAAATGTGAGAGGAGGTAGAGTTTTTGTTTTATTTGTAGATGACAATTCATTGAGTGTATGTGTGTACGGGGGGTGGGGTGTTAGAAGATCTTGTGTTTCCAATTGTCACAGATTCTGGGAGCTCCGTATTAGATGCGAGTGTTCTCTAATTAACTTCACTGAGGCTCAGACAGTTAATTAAGAATTTCAGCTTGGTTGCCTCCAATTAGCAAGGGGCAATAGCACTGGTGTTCCTGCAGCAGGGAAACAGTATTCCCCTGATATTCACACTTCTACTGCCTACAATGCACCTTCAACGGACACAATGGAAAAAGCCACGTTACTAATCTGAAGAAACAAAAGACAGGATGTGTTTTCACTGAATCAAATTACCTACAATCTTTTCTCAATATCTCATCAGTTAAGCACGATGTCAGGGACACTGTGGAGCCAACAGTTAATAATCGAGCTTTGTTCAAGAATGCAGAGTTTGGGAACTTGGAGAAGAACAAGGGTAGTGTAGGAAAATGACTGTATTTTTTTAGCCAGGAAGCTCCCACTGTAATACAAAATAGTGTGTAGCAGGGGGTCCTGGTCAGAATCAGCTCACTTTGTAAACTGTATGTTTGACAATAAGCATTATACAAATCTCTACAGCTGGCAAACATCAATCATCCTCAAATATACCTGGCTTTTCACAGGATCATCAGGGATAAACCACTGACGCCCTTTAATATCTTTACACTTGAAGCCCTCAAATAAATGTCATCGCGACAAAATCCATTTCTTCCATCGCTTATCCGCTATTTCATTGAACAATCGTTTCCACGAGTCCCATTCTCGAGATTTCATGCCTATTATATTTTCTATAATGCCGGTTGAAGGTTGTGTGAATATGTAGTAGCAGCAGCCCTCCGGATCACTGCGTCCTCATCAGATGTGGAGGGCCAGAGAAATTGATTTCACCCGCGCCCCAAAAGGCTGCATGTGTCTTAAATGTGTAATAATTAAAATAACTTCCAGCTCAATCATGGCCCTGCCTCTCAGATCCAGCCCATCACACCGGTGCCAGGGATATTTGCACCGGGTAATTGTGGTGGCTGACTTCGACTCGTCCCCAGGGCTAGGAGAGGGTGGGGGGGGGGTACACAGTGCAGGCTGATTGAATCTTTTGTCGGGTAGGTGAGCTGCACAAGGTCCCTTTTTCCCCCTGGAGGCCTTTTCTGACACTTGTCCTATTCAGCTCCCCTCAGCAGAGGATGCTGGACTGACAGCCCGGCTCAGGTCCTGGTCTCTGAGGGGCCGCGCTGCATCGATCACAGTCCGGCTCTCTGCCCCACTACTGCTGCAGAGGGGGGGAGGAGGGGAGCAGTCTGACACATGTCCACATCCTCTATCAGGACTTTACTGTCATCCAGGTGGAGAGAGGAACTTTCACTGAATCAGCTGAACTTTGAGTCATGTGGGACACCAAATGCAACTTAATGTTATGGCACTAGTGTTCTGAATAGTGGTGCATTTAAGAAACTGTGGTTGAATTAATTTACTTTTTAAATAATTGTAAAATATTGTATTAATTACAATTTAGAAAAAAGTATTCAGAAAAGTTTTCCAAATAAACCGAAATGTGACTCCCTAAAGCCTTATTAACCCATAATGTCCTATCTACCCCTTCACTAATGGTTAAATGCGTTTAATACTTACATGTAATTGTAAATATAAATTTTGGACAGTTTCTCTTCTTTCCATTGCCTTTATTCCATCTGAACTTCTTCCTCTGTTGTAAAATACAGATCATTACCACTGATTTGATTATTTTAGTGGCGGACTCCAAACTAAAAACGACTCCTAAGACACATCAGCATCACAGAATATGAAGTGGGGTTCATTCTGTATTGGTGATCAGTGCTTTTGAAAAACAAGACTTGAGGTCAGCTGTGGGTGCCGTGAAACTCCCCTCACTAACCTCTCCCCCGGCCGTCATCAATCATACGACACACGGAATGAAATCAAGTGGCTCGGCTGCCATCGGCGGGCATCCCTGCATTTACATGACAATTCAGAGGGACCGCCCTGGTAGCAGATGTGTGTCACATCCACTGGGCTTGTGTTTATTTGATTTTATTGCCTGATGAAGGTGTGGCGGTTCTGCAGACCATTGCAGAGCATTTCCAATTCAGAAATGGAGCACCAGTGAATTTAGATGGCCTATTCAGGGATTCATTGTTTTCAATCTCAGACTTCAAATGTCAACAATTAAACCAAGTAATTTATTATATTGTCTCTCTTGTTTTTTAGGTGACTACCCAGCTCCACGAGCAGTTTTGACGGGTCATGACCAAGAAGTAGTGTGTGTGGCAGTGTGCGCAGAGCTGGGCCTGGTCATCAGCGGAGCCAAAGGTCAGTGTGCTTTCTGTCTCCCTTTAAGGTCACTGTCATCAGAGAGGAAACAGGAAGTCAGGATCACTCGCGCTTGAGCTTACTTGTATACTGTTGGTTACAAGTCTATTACCAACACGCATAACAGACAGACATTTATTTAAAAGATCCCTCTAGACCAGCATTTTTACCCTGATGAACGACATGCAAATGCCTGACGGAAAAAGCTAAGACCAGGAATCTCTGTACGTTATGCTTTTAAAACTGTAAAAATAACATTGTATGTATTTTCTAGAAGACAGAATACTAGATGTTTTACATGAGCAGTTGGCTCACACTTGTCTGTTTTCTCTTTGGCAGAGGGCCCATGTCTGGTCCACACCATCACAGGGGACCTGCTGCGGGCTCTGGAGGGGCCAGAGTACTATCAGTGCCCACGGCTTATCTCAGTATCCAGTGAGGGCCACTGCATCATATACTACGAGAGGGGCCGCTTCTGCAACTTCAGCATTAATGGAAAACTGCTGGCACAGATGGAGGTCAATGATTCCACCAGGGTAAGCTGACTGTAGACACCACTACAATCCACTTGAGATGCTTCTTTGTTTATCTGCAGTCTAAGATACTTCAACTCTGTGCAGTGATTGCTTGGTGTTTTGACTTTCGGTAAAATATGTGCAACAGGATGTTTACTGATGGCTACCAACTGATTTTGAGATTTCATATTATTAGAAAAAATCTATCGACAATTGTAAATCTTTAATTTGCAGTCTTGGCTGCTGCACATCATTCTCATACTGTACTTCCACAATCTCAAATGGGGTCTTTGTTTCATGTAATAAAATACATTTCCGAAGAAGGGACAATAAAATAAGTCGCAAGTCAGATGTAGGTACCCTCCTTTCTACTGCAGGCTATTCTCCTGAGCAGTGATGGCCACAACCTGGTGACAGGTGGAGATAACGGCGTGGTGGAGGTGTGGCAGGCCTGTGACTTCAAACAGCTCTACGTCTACCCCGGCTGTGATGCTGGCGTCCGAGCCATGGACCTGTCACATGATCAAAGGTCAGAGCAAACATTTGTATGGTAGATAAATGTTGAGGCTACAGAGACAACGTATACAGAAGGCCATCTTGATGAATTGTCTTCCACACGTCACAGTTTTTCATTCATTGTGTTTTAATCACAGGAGGTAGTTTTGAAACTTTCAAATAATAGCTTACATTTAATACACCTCTCAGCCACTTTTCCCCCCTAGCAAGCATCTGTCATTTTATGGATTATTTAAAAAATGTTATAAAAGTAATATGATATGCAATAAAAAAATCTAAAACAGAGTATGCCACAAAATGTCATACAATTATTCTATTTAAATCCAATCCAAATGTCATCATTATGAATGTCTAAAAAACACATGATGCCATAAAATAGTATGCCAAGGAAAACTAATAAAAAAGTCCATTGTATAGCATGTCATGAGAAAAAGTCCTTCTAATATCCTATTCCTTTCCCTTGTTGTTTTCATGTGTAGCATGACCTCCTATGCTCCTTCTACAGTCACAAACTGTATAGTGGTTGTTTTGGGTTTAGGAAGCTCCTTTTTTTTTTTTAGCCACATCCTATTCTTCCTTGTGCTTGTGGATCTTTTTCAGCAGCCTCCCTCCCTCCCTGTCTGCTAGCCCCCCTCTCACCTGCATTACTCAGCAAACCTCCTCACTCTCTTGCCCCACCTCACCCTCTTATTTTTACTATAAAAACTTCATAGTCAAATATGCCTTTAAAATATCATAAACATAATAATACAGTGAGTCAAACTAACTATGAAGAAGTCACATACTGTAATGTCATGAAATATTTCACAGAGTATGATATGTCCCTAAGCCATTGAATAGTTTTCCACCAAAAGTCTTAATGTCATAAAAAAGTCAGAGTATAGTAGAACAATTGTCATACTATATTATATATCGTCCTATAAATCTATTAAATGCCCAAAAAGTCAAGATGCCTATTATTGTATGCTATAAAAATGAAGTCATAGTAATATGCCCGAAAAATATAATTTAAATTATAATTAAGAGTGCATCAAACTAAATCAAGTAAATTAATTTTATAATAATTACATACCATTAAATGGTCATATGAACGCATAGAAGTATGCTATAAATGTCAAAATAAAATCATAATTTAGTAATTCCCCAAAAATGTTATGAAATATCCCTTACTACATTACACATCATACTAATATTCTATTAACTTGCCATGACTCATGTAACAAGTATAATAAGCAGTAGATATATAAGATACATATTAAAGTAAGTAATTAAAAGGTCATGAAATAAGGCAGAATACTCATAAAAGTCATAAAATAGTATACAACGTAAAATAAAAAAACGTCTAGTATGCCAAAAGCTGTTTTATTTTTCTATGTCAACTAAATGTCATAGTATGTTTAAAAGTCAATAGTAAAACATACAATGTTATATAAAATATCAGTACAGTACAAGAACTCAGGTCTGCTGTGCTCCTAATTATTTTCAAATCAAAATGAATTTCTGTTTAAATAAGGTGACAGAGATAATAATAGATTTTGTCGATAAATAAGAAGTGCTAGAGAAAAGTTAGTTAGTAGGATACCCACCTTCCTTTACGATGAAACGGAATTAACAGTTGCTATTGAGACAAAAGTTACAAATGCACTTATTTTGATACCTAAGTCAGCAGCATGTTTTTCCCAAACATTTGAGATTGATCTGGAGTCATGTAATGGGTGCCGTGTTGTTGGGCGACAGTGTTTGCTCTCGGGCTATGAGCCTGACGTCATCATGTGACCCTGGCAGGGAAGAGAGGTTAGAGAGTCCGAACATTAATGCTGCTCTTCAACGCCACAGGCCACACACACTCCCCCCCCAGCACTTACAGTGGGCCGTAACAGAGGCCTGGTTCTTGTGCAGAATGACTCTGCACCATCATGATTAACTGCACAACCTGTGAAGCTGAGCAGATGATAGAGACGGGATTACATTTGTTAACAGATTTAGTTTTAGTGTTAATCTAACATCTAAGAGGCAAAACACATCAAGGACTTAAACACTGCATATAAGTACTACAATCTATTTGTAAATGTCTTTGAATACCGCTTAACACATCACTTAATTGAGCATTTTAAGAACCCCGTGATTCGGTTAGTGTCTTTCTTCAGTGAGTTGACGTTAGGTAACACAAGGGAGCCATGTTGCAGCTTCACTTACAGCGGGGCGTTCTGCCTCAGCTCTGTTCATTGTGCTTGAGCATTTAAGCCCTTGGGGTGTAGCAGTATAAGACGACCCTGTGAAATCAGCTGCTTTTCCTACATACCAGCCAGCCAGCCGTGGACTCAAGAGCAGAGGGTTGCAGAAAGATACCAACACTCAATGGTCTCCTTCAGTTGTCAGAGGGACCCCAGATTGAACCATAACAGCCCCTCATGACCTGTGATCACTTTATAACCAACTGTTAATATGCATGAAATACATTTTTATCAATGAACACATTTTGTAAAACGTGGTGGCTTGTTACACATGTAAACACATTGGAAATAACTAATTATACAGTAGTTAGATTTGCAAAAAATAGGTTGTGTTGATTGTGTTACTCTAATTTTACGAATTCTTCAGTTTATAATGCATTTCCCGACATTCAGATTTAATATTTGTTTGTGGTTTTTTGTTGGCTCTTCAGGACATTGATCACAGGCATGGCGTCTGGCAGTATCGTGGCATTTAACATTGATTTCAACCGGTGGCACTACGAGCATCAGAACAGGTACTGAGGAGAGACACAGCCACGCAGCAGGAGCGTTCAGAGAGATCTAACCAACCAGAGGCCGAGCTGCAGGAAATCCACAGAGCATGGAGGACCTCCAGTGGGCTGCAGGACATCACCATGGTGACACTTATAAAGAACAAAGTGTGCTCACATGTGTTCATCTGGCCTGGAGAATCTGGATGAATTTGCTGTTGGTTTTCACGTGTTACATGAGCACCAGCCGTCGACTTCCCCAACTGAGCATGAGCGACTGAGATGAACTTAATAACACAAACACACTGTAAGCGTTTAAGTTGCTGTTCCGAATTGTGAAAATGCAAAACAAAATGAATCCTCTGTTACGAACATTTATACAACATTTGTATGGCAGACACATATCTCACATGGGACACTTTTCTAGAGGAAACCAGTGAACCTGTAATGTAAATATGGACAGTGTAAAGTGATACTTCCCTGTAAAGACTGATAGATCTGAATGCTGTTAGACTAGCCACCATGTTGCCGTCATCTTCATCATGCGAGCCATGTATAATGTTCTACATGTCTCCATTGACTTCAGATATTAGTTGGGTGTAAAACATATATATGGCCCTTGTTGCTCATTGTTATTAATATTGGCCAAATGTGTGTACGTGAAAAGACAAAATGTTTGTGGTTCATTTGTTGTTTGATTGTCTTTATGGAAAAAAAGTTAAAATCAGTGTGAGCGTTGTCCTTTGTGAAATACTTGTTTTTCATAATGTCAGTGAAAAGGATAATTGTGGTATTTCCATATTCACTTTAAATTAAAGGATAATTTTATTATAAATGGCAAGTAATTAATGACTTACTGTGGGTTCCTAAAGTATTTTCAAGCGGGACATTTGAAAAAGCAGTAATCAATGTTTTGATTTGTTCTTTCATCTTCTCCCAAAATTAAAAGACAGATTTGTATCTCATGACTGTTTACGTTTGATAAAGCTGTAAGACAATTCAAAGGAAGTGAGATTTTAAAGACTATAATGTTGGCCCTGCAAACATTAGTCCTGTTACTTCTGCATATCACAGTTTTCAGTATTCCTATTTTTGAAAAGAATGTTTGCTTGTCCATTTTAAATCTGTGTATTCATGAACATCAGTCCGTGCTGTAACTCGATGCATTGGTAAGCAATATTCTGACTTGATAGCTGAACAGGTCGTGTTTCAGCTGTGACAAAAATATCTAATAATGAACATGATGGTGTTCCAAAAATGACTATAGTGTATTTTTGGTGATAAATGAGAAGTCTGTCGCTGTGAGCTGACACATTTAAATGAACAAAATATGCAAATAGATTTTGAGTTTGCATTCTGATGTTTCTAGTGGGTCTACTAGACACCAAACTACCTTCTCCCTAAATAATTTCCGCTTAAAATGAGTTTGACAAATATTTAGTAATGTAGCAATTCAAGTTAAGGTTAAGGTAGGTAAGTTTGAGAAACCGGCTCCAGATACACTTTTTGTTATATTCCATGGAATGCTCTTAACACCCCGATAGCAATGAATATCTGAAGTGCTTTGACAAAAAATCCATAAAAAAAATGTCATCTGTGGAAGCCGTAGTACTGTAAAATCATGTGGACAAACTTATCTCGTACCCTCATTGGTCATGTAGGAAGGAAGTGGCAGATTTTTTCCAGCTGTGTATTTTCAAATTCTAGCCTAGCCCAAATACCTACCCGACCTTTAAGTTGTGATTCCTATATTTTATTTTAATTGCCAATTATTTTAGTTTTGGAAAAGGGTAGGATATCGTTTGATGCTTATGAAATCCAAAAAAAAAAATTGATAATTGTAAAATTCAGCTGCTATAATTATTATTATTATTTTTTAAACTGAATAAATAAACCGGTGTCAATCGTTTTTCTTGTTGAGCTTTTACTCGTGCAATTGTGTAGCCTGCCCCAAAAACGTGAATGCATGTTTTAATAAAACACTGATTAAGAATGTATAACTATTGCTATATTATAAACTATAAATAATGCAATGGTGGAATCTTACGCCAATATGATAAGCTTGATGATGCTGCCCCCTGCTGGCTGAATGTGTTGCTGCAGGTTTGGTGGGTTCACTGCTTGTCTTGCAAAAACTTTACAGCTGACTCACAAATTGTCTTTTTTTCTCTTTAGGTGTCTTCAGATAAAATTGTTGGACCTATGATTTTTCTTTTTTAACCATAAAAGTATTTTTCTTACCAATTCAAAAAAAAAGTACTCTGTTTTGTATTTATTTAGATTTTTTATGGCATCCGTACATTAATGAAATATGGATAAATATAATACAGAACGTGCATTCCCCGTCTGCTTATAACTAATACTGACATTCCCAGTTGTCTTATCATTGTCATGGTGTATTAACAGTATATATTAATGCTTTTCAGATTTTTAAAAGCCTTGAAAGCATATACAATCCCCAAATGTCACTGTTCCAACTTGCTTTCCTTGTGCTTTTTGGTTCACCCCCTTTGAGTCAAAAACGTAAAAGCCCTTTTACAACAAAGTCCGTGGTGTGACATTACATTCCAGTTAAAATATGTATATACAAGTTTGAACTTAGCTGTGGTATGACTATATAATGGAACTGCATTCACCAAGACATCACTTACAATGACAACAAGAATGGTTTCCTCTCTGACAGGCGTATATCAAACAGTAGAAGACCAGAACAGCTGATTAAGGATGCATATTAGCACACATGCAGGTTACAGTCTCTGAAAAAAGGAACAAGACATTCACATCCATGAATATTTGGTCTTCAGGTGAACCAATGTATGGAGTTGTCAGAGAACATTACAGTACATACAATCTATAAGCCAGTCTTCTCAGTCATGTTATTCGATCATGTTATCGAAAAGACCATCACATATTCAAATAATGGATTTTACTGGAAGCACTTTTGTTTGCCAATATTTTACCCCGAAAAAAAAGGTGCCAATTGCCCCCATCTTATAGAGAAGTGTGTCAGTTGGTTGCTAATAATACCAGCAACAGATCCATTCTCATTTATTCCAGCATTTTGTGGGACACATTTGTTACTGCACTCATTGAGCAACGCACCTAATTGCACTTAAATCCATATGTGCCAAGGCAAGGCTTTAAACATGCACTTACTACCAACTATACATCACTGACATTCATCTGCACCACTGAATTACAACCACTCTCACAGACGTGTAACATATATGTTTCAATAATCATCCTGAAGCGCCCAGGTGAGCTGGACCATCAACAGTCAAACATTAGTGCCCTCAATTATCTTAAAGAGTCATGCTACTGGGTGGCAGGAGAACATCTGTCCTACACAAAACAAATGTTCAATTCAGATAATGCTTAATGATAATGCTATAGCAGCAGGTTTTTAAGTTATTTAAGTCCTCTTAAACTTCGTATTCAGGTACAGTAGAGTGTAATCAAGATGTTGCACAGTACCCCTGGAAGGTGACTTTTACAGTCAATGTCAAATTTAGAGGGTTATTTTATAACAAGTATTTGTGTTCAAACCATGATAAGTAAAATGTACTGTCACAAAATAATGTAATTCCTTTTTTAAAAGCTAAGTTTTAAATGTTTTGCGTTTGCAACTCCCATTAAAGCCAAGTGCTTTATGCATCAGGTTGTCTTTCTTGCAGTACAGATTATAAACCACTAGAGGGCTCTAGAGTACTGCAATGAACCACTATGAACCACTATGCTGGGCAGAAATAAGGTTTTAGCAGTTTGGATAACTTTTTGAAAGGAGGGGTGTGTATATAATATTGTTGTATGCTCTTAAGGCATATTCTTTGATCCAGAGACACATTTGTCCCTTACTCAGATCAATCCATTTATTTTATGAAGAAACATTAAATGGGTACAGGTCAGTAATGAAGTGTGTACATTTCCAACTTATAAGAGTAAACCCCATGTGGGTCTTTCAGTTTTGCACTACACCGCCTCACATTTCTCCACGTGAAGGTGGACAGTGCTTTGGCCTCGGGAGGCTGTTAGAACGGAGGCATGGGGGAACGGACCGTGCCAGCTGAACCCGGGGAATAGTCCTCGGGGGTTAGCTCGGCGGCAGAGAGGCCATGGTTGGCACTGCGTGAGGCACCGGCCCCCATACTGCGTGGGAGGTGGGGAGAAAGCTTCACATCTTGGTTGCGTCTTCGTCGGAAAACTTGCTTCTCCTTATCAAGTGGCGTGGTCTGAGAGAGGGTGACACAGCAGCTGTTAAGATCTCTACAAGACCACGGTGATGAGGAGTGGCATCCAATCAACCACCACTGAGACACTTGGCAAATGTTAAATGAGCCAATGTTTGCATGCAGTTGTATCTAAAAAGCTGCATTTACTTCACTTGTTACAGTTAAACTTCTTGTGACAGAAAGTTTAACTTCATCTAGTCTGTTACAGCAGTAAGAATGAACAACAAAATAAGGTAAACTGCATGACCAGGCGAGAGGAAACCGTTGCAGCACTGGTGAGATGAAGGAATGTGATGAGTGATGGATTTTAGGAGGTGAACAAGAGGCAAGGTGAGGAGGGGAAATATCTACATTAAGGGGAAATGGGTCAAATGAAATACTGGGAATTGAAGACTGCCAGCACTTTTATCATGAAAGCATTGCATATTTGCACTATGCTTTGTCATACCTTATCCAATATACTCCTGGATGCTGGTAGTGGTCCAAAGACCCTGACCTCTGGATGGTCAAGTCCTTGTTCAGCTGAGCAGAGAGAGACGAGCGCAACTCAGAGGAACACCTTGAACTCAAAGCATCTCTGACCTGGGTAGCATTAAGGTGCACAATTCTAAACTTTAGTCAGTTAACAGCTGTGTTGGAAAAAAAGGAAAACTGAGTGTCAGTGCCAACTGACAGGGAGGAGTGCAACCGATGCCCATTATGATTGGCAAGTATTACCATGGTAAGCAAATTGACTTCATTTCTGCCAATTGTACAAATCCAGCTGAGCTTTAAAACTATTTAAGAAATCTTATCTACCGAAAAAGGTGCTGACAGTCAATCTAAAGGAGGAGGATGAAAGGCCAGAGCACACACAGCAAGGCCTGGGAGCGTGAGGCGGATGGATGGACTGATGGATACACAGAATATAGCCAAGAAGTGACTCAATAAAAATACAAAGATGAGTAATGAATTAATTTGCTGTTTTGCAAAGACAGACACTGTCAGGTACAACTAAATAACAACTGAATTGTAATGACAGCATACAGATAAATATTAAAAGCATTTGCAAATGTGATTTTTACATTTTGAATAAGATCCAAAGAATCTTCGCTACAACACAAAAAAGAAAAGAGAAAATATCTAGTCATGCAGAGCTGCATGCCGGGTCCAAGTGTAGGGTTGCAGATCAGTGCTTACTGTAATGACGGACACTCCTGCTGCGGTGCTGCTGAGCTTGGGCCCTGTGTTGAAGTGTTTCTTGATCTTGCCAGCCACAGGCAGCTGGTGCTCATTCTCTGACACACCATCATCCTGGACAATTCAAAGAACAAAGTTTCAGAAAGTCCACCTACTGCCCTATACTGGCCTCTTTCTGATCAATGCCCGTTCTACACAGGTGATTCTGGTTACATTTTTTGAAAGCTGAACTTACATTAACCCAGCGGTGATCGAGCACCTGTGCAGCTGTGCATCTCTGATCCACGTCTACCTGCAGCATCCAAGTGATCAGAGCCTAAATAAAGACAGAATACATTATTATACTGGATACTCAATGCTATGAGACAACAGTACTCAAAGATGCTGGTGTTTCACATGGAGCATAACGATGGCGGATGAGGAGAACATTTCCACACACACACACCTTGGCATTTTCAGACACATTGTCCCAGTATGGTGCAGGGAAATCCAGCTGGTCCTTCAAAAGCTGTTCAAGCAGAGCCTCCTGATCTTCACCACTGCTGATGTAAATAAAACAACATGTATCCTATAAAGCTCAAAGTAAGTTCCACATAATAGCCTAGAATGTGATTGATATATTTTATTTATGTCATTAATTTGCATCAGGTTAACATCAAAATAAACGTCCTGAAAGGAACACATACCCACGGAAAGGTGGAAAGCCACACAGAAGTATGTAAGTGATGACACCAGCTGCCCAGATGTCCACCTTGAGGCCATACCTGTAATTGAAGAAACATAAACCAGGTATCAGAGACTAAGTACTTCTGCAAGTAGCAATACTCCACAACTGTACTGGTCATTTTACATGAAAAGGACATGCCTTGTCTATTATGTTTCAGAAAATGACTGACTCACCCGGTCTCAGCGACTATCTCCGGTGCTACATAGGTCGGGGTGCCACACACGGTAAAGAGGGGCCCGTTGACGATGGTAGCCAAGCCAAAATCACCGAGCTTCAGAGACTTACTTCCATCCTGGTGTTCAAATACCTGTTGAAAACACACAATAAGAAGCCACAAGAAAAAAAGGTCACAAACTAATGAATTGCTGTGATAAATATTAGATATTAGGAGCTCAAGTGAGATGCACCTCTTGTTTGAGTTTCACTTTTTGTTTAGCTTCTGGAGTTTTCGTACACATTTCATAATGTTATTAATTTGTCCTATATATTTTACATGTGTTCATGTAATTGTAAGCTCTAAGTGCAAGCTTGTATGAACAAACTAAAATGAATCACAAAAAAGTTGCTTGAAAAAGGAATGAGGAACAATTAATATGGAAGATGGATCCATTAGGTCTGAAAATGGGAAGCTTTTCAATGTAGCGCCACTCACTGCCAGTGCAACATCTAAAGAGTCATACTCACCAACAGGTTTTCTGGTTTTATGTCTCTGTGGACAATTTTGAGGCTGTGAAGGTACTTGATGCCGCTTGCCAGATTGAACAGCAAACTGCTGGCGTCTCGCTCTGTGTATTTGTTTGAGGAGGTGATAGCATCAAAAAGATCCCCGCCCTGTGAAAGAGTATTTAAGTGTTAAGGGCAGATGCAGATACAACTTTAGCCATTAACAGGAAGCCATTTCTATAGACTAACATGAACATACAAAATTAACAAAAGTAATGTTATCAAACAGATCATAAAAACTCAAATTAAATGTTGATAACACAAACATATAGATAACAAAAAATCACAATTGGCTCTACAATGTTGCTTCTTTGCTGGAAATGTTTTTAAGAACTACCAAATGTGTAGTACCTTAACCAACTCCATTACGAGATAGAGTTCACTACTGGTGTCCATTTCCTCAATAAGGAGAACTATGTTGGGATGTTTCACACGCCGAAGGATTGACACTTCGCTCTGGATCATGTGTTCCTGGGTAACAAAGAACATTATAAACACTGTACAGTAAACACATTTTTATAAACATGCACATCTGTGGAATGTTAGATTGTGGGGCATCCTTTCAGTCATTTCAGGTCAAATATGAGGGACAAAACTATTTAGAAATGTGGAATGTCTATTTAATAAGGGTTTATGTAGAGGTGTTTTTAAAACTGAATAGTTCTAAAAATATTTGTTGTTGTCCAAGAGGAGACAGCACCATCTGCTGACTCATGAAGACAATAACAAAATTGAATAAGCATCCAAAACAGAACTCCATTAAAAAGCTGTACTGCTTAGCTAAACTTTATGCGGGTTGGATAATTTAACTGTTGCGGGCTGCGCCTGGGCAACAGCGCTGCTGATAGGATCCGGCGTGCAGTGGTGGACAACTTGCTACAAAACTGTGACATTCTATGCTTGCAAGAAACCTTTTTACCAAAGCAGGATTTGGGAAAGTTGAACTCTCTTAATGAACATTTTCACGGGGCTGGTGAGTCTACTACGGACCTATCTCTGGGAATAGTAAGAGGAAGGATAGCGGGGGGCGTGGCTATCCTGTGGCACAAAAAGCTGGACGCTGTCATTAATGTCATCAGGCTTGAAGTTGAATGGTGTATTGCTGTGCAGATCAAAATGAATAACAAGGAGTAGTCTCTAGTATTCTCAATGTATATACACCGTATGAGTCACAGCATAATGAAGATGAATACCTGAACAGACTTGCTTTTATACATTCTTTTATTGTTGATAATCATTCCACCAGTGTTTATATAGTGGGTGATGTCAATGCTGACATATCAGACAAAAGTTCCTTGTTTGCTAAGCATATGCTACAGTTATGTGATGATAACAATCTTATTTTATCAAGCCAAATACTTTTGCCTACAGATAGCTATTCATATATAAGCGAGGCCTGGCACACAACTTCATGGCTTGACCATTGCATAAGCACTGCTAATGCCCATGACATTTTAAGATCAATTGAGATTGTGTATGAGGCATCAATGTCTGATCACATTCCTTTTGTAATGTCACTAGATTATGATAGTCTCCCTGAGATGTCTCAGGAGGATAAAAATCCTTGTAACACTAAAGTGGATTGGTCCAAGCTCACAAATGAGGATAGGCTATTGTACTATGGGAGAACTGATGTCCTATTGAGTGGTGTATATCTACCCAAAGTAGCAACTCTGTGTGTTGATGTGGGTTGTAATGAAAGCTCTCACCGTGAAGACCTCTGTAACATGTATGATTGTATTGTGGGAGCTGTATGTGAGGCCAGTAGACCGTGCTATACCTACTCTGGGAAAAGACACAACGTCAAGCCAGGGCGGAATAAACCTGTGCCTGATCAATATGCTGAAGCTAAGAATGCTTTTGGGACCTGGGTCCGGGCAGGAAGGCCCAGAGAAGGGCCTGTCCTGGATCTCAAAAAGCGTACAAATGCTAGATATAAATATGCAGTTCGTTATGTCAACAAACATACAGAAACATTGAGAGTGGATTCTATGGCTGAAAAGCTCCTTCATCATGATGTGACTGGCTTCTGGAAGGAGGCGAGAGCTCTGAACAGGGCCAGTACGTCGTTACCATGTACCATAGAGGGAGTATCTGGAGCCGATAACATATCTGAGTTGTGGAGGCAACATTACTCTACTATACTTAATTGTGTTAAAAGTGACCCCTACAAAGTTGGTAATGTTGTGAAAAGTGACACAGTGGGAATCACAGCTAATGAGGTTTATCGAGCAATTGCACAGCTAGCTGATAACAAAGCATGCGGCTCTGACCGAATCACTGCAGAGCACCTTAAACTGGCAAGCCCGAAGGTTGCAGTTCTTCTTGCCATTTGTTTTACTGGGCTCATGACTCATGGTGTGTTGCCGGACTCCATGTTGACTGTTACTTTGGTCCCTGTCATTAAGGACAAAGCGGGCAAGGTAGGGGGCTTGGATAATTATAGACCAATTGCTCTAGCCAGTGTGTTATCCAAATTCCTGGAAAGAATTTTGTTGGACAGATTATGTTCTTATTTTTGTACCTCAGATAACCAGTTTGGCTTCAAGGCTAAGCATGGTACTGAGCTATGCATCTATGCTTTGAAGGAAATGGTAGAAACATATAGAAGACAGTGTTCGATTGGTTTTATTGATGCCTCTAAGGCTTTTGACCGAGTTAACCATCATAAACTGTTTTTTAAATTGAGACAAAGGGGTGTGCCCAACAGTATAATTAGGATCCTGGCTTATTGGTATGCCAACCAGAGCATGCGGATCAAATGGGAGAATGCAGTCTCGGCGCCATTTGGTGTTGGTAATGGAGTCCACCAGGGGGGGCTCCTCTCACCATGCCTTTTTAATATCTATATGACTGATCTATCAGATGATTGACGTGTCTGTAAAGCAGGATGTGTGATTTTTAATGTGATTGTAAACCATCTTATGTATGCCGATGATTTGGCTATTGTTTATAGCAACTGTATCAACATGTGTGTTCTGATTATGGTGTCAAATTTGATGTTAAATACAATGCTAAGAAGAGCGCAGTAATGATCTGCAGAGCAAAAGGGGATAAGAACCTTGGTTTTCCAACATGCTATCTGTCAGGGCAGGTGCTGTCTGTTTGCCGTAAAACTAAGTATCTGGGAAACATCATCACAGATGAAATGGCTGATGATGATGATGACATGTATAGACAGACAGCGTCGTGTCTTATATACACAAGCTAACATGTTGGCTAGAAAATTCTCTTGGTGTTCAGATAAGGTTAAGGTGAACCTCTTTAGAGCTTATTGTACTCCTCTATACTGCCCCCTTGTGGGTCAAGTTTAAGAAGGCGAGCCTCAAGAAGCTCCAGGTTGCATATAATGACTGTCTGCGTATAATGCTTAGAAAACCAAGGTGGTGCAGTGCAAGTGAAATGTTTTGTAATGCACGAGTCAACACGTTCCATGCTCTCTTGAGAAATCTGATGTAGAAATCCATCTGTCGATTGAATGTTTCTCATAACTCGGTCATTATGCTGCTTTCAAATCTGTGTCTCAGTGCTGTACGATACCAGTCACCTCTGTGGAAACATTGGTACAACTGCCTTTTTTTATTTATATTTGAGTGTTGTATGTCTTTTAATAATGGACCAAGAGTCTCTTCAAATAAAAGCTGATCAAACTTGGAGGTGTGATAATGAAAAAGGCAGGCTAACCTTTCCTCTGCATTTGTCTTTGCTGATGATCTTCAGAGCATACTCCCTTCCGGTGGATCTCTCCACACACTCTCGGACCACGGCAAAGTTTCCGTCCCCTAAAGTCCTCCCCACTTTGTACCTCTCTGAGATGGACGCAGGGACAGAGAGGCACTCATCCACTAGCTCAGCTGAGGAGGAAAAAAGGTATGAAAAATAGCCCAGTCAATACTTTACAAAGTCTTTTAACAATATGTTATTATCAGTCAGAGTCCTACCTTCACTGCTGGGCCCATCTCCGTCATCCATTGAACTGCAAACCTTGGTAGAAGCTAAAGAGAGTGAAGAGCCACTGTGATGAGATCCCTGGAAAAGAAAGAGACAGCCATGTAATTGAGAATGAAAGGCACACTGATGCACGTGTCTTACAGACTGAAGAGAAGGCACAGCTTTTAAAGATGTGATGACAGCCAGTTTACACAAAGCATATGTGTACTAGTAGGTGTGGGGAAACATTATACCAACGTTCCCACCTGCATAAAGACTGGCATGTGGTTCCAAAACGCATTGAAATGAATATCCTTTGCCACACCCACGATACCAACCCAGACAGCCTTATGATTCATTAATGATGGTATCCCTGATAAATGGATTTCTCTCCTCGGTTGACTGTGCGATGCGGTCTCAAAACGTGTTTGTTCTCCCCAGATCTATGATAATCACAGGGAAGATGTGCTGCTGCTATTTGGATTAAATTGTATTCAAAAGGTAGCTCTAAAGCGCCATTATACATGAACAAAAACAATGCGTATAGGAGGGACCTCAAGGTTTGGGGGATTCGGGACATGTTGTGTTTGAGATTATATTTACATCTGTACCTGTGTACTCAAACCTGAGAAACCTGTAACTATATTTTTACAAAACATATAAAACTTGCAGTGTTACATAAACAAACAGCCAGAAAGATCATGTAAAGCTATTTTGAAGAATATAAACCCATGTATATATTAGTTTCTGTTTAATTCAGTGTACTGAAATATTATTCATTGATGAAGACAATTGTTGTACTCCTTTACCAAAGATTATCTGATAAAACATGTGACATAATATGAAATAAATCTTTAGGACATTAACTTATTTAAATGAAAATGTATGTGTTACCCGTCGTCTTCGAAGGCTAGCTGGACTTGTTGGAGACGGGCTAGGAGACTTCCCAGATCGAGGGGTGGACAGCTGACTGCCTGCCGTGCCATTAGCTGATTATAATTGGAAACAAACGATTAGTTTAGTAATGAAATACAGCAGCGTAAACCGAAATATACTTTAAGAACAGTCTGATAGACAGACACAAAGACACACTCACCTGAACCAGGGGATGATGGAGACTTGCTTCTGCGGGACATCCCACCGATTCTCGGGGAGGAGAGAGCATGTCCGGAGGGAAGCCGGCCGTATGATGCAGACTTTGCGACCAGGCACTCTATAAAAAGGAAAAATATAAAAACTGCTGGAGCGAAATGTTCCCCTCGAAACTAATACTAGGCTTTCATCCAATTTTAAGTCAGCTTGAGTTACTAAACGGGGAAGTTTGAAGTACTAGAAAGAGGAGTACTAAAAGTAGAGCAGCAAATAGTGCGGACAAACAGGTGTGTAGGTACTATACAACATTATTAATAAGGACAGCTTTCACAAACAAAGCATGAGTGATGACATCCTCTCTATTCTGACCTGCACGTTCATCACTCACAGACACTGTACCACAACTATAAACTTTCTGAATTTAATTTGGTTTCAAAGGAGGATGGCTTGAAAAAAAAGAAAAAGAACCTTCACAGTATGTGTACATAATCCAGCGCCTCCTACATTTGTGACGTTCTTTTCAGTTACAGTAAAGCTTTGTCACCCCCCCAAATGTCACACACACAGACAAGTGTAAATAATGTACCAGAGACAAAATGCACAATAAAGATGAATTGTTTGGCACATGTTTTCTTTAGTTTTAGATATTGCATTATGTGAATATAGTGAATTATTTAGCCTAGTAATCATGTAGTGAAAATCTTATAATGTGATAGCCGTGATCAAACCCTCATAAATTAAAGGACACTTACCACCCTCTTGCAAATTGAAGTCATCCTGATAGCGGAACTTCTCAGGGCCACAGGCAAAAAAGATATCATCGTCCCCAAAAAAGTCCTGAAGGCAGGAGACCTGGTGAAGATGGAGATTCATTCTCTTAGTAACAGAAAAGACTCAAGTTTGACATGTAATGTGTACTTTCCAGTGATACTGCACTGTATTAACTCCAGAGACAGAACTGTTTTCCTGATTTACCCGACACATAGAGTAAGTGATTGGAATGAACTGCTCTTACTGAAGACAACGACCATCCGACACAGAAACCCCCCCAAGAGGGATCCAAGCATATAAACACAGGAATTCCGGACTATTCATCAAAAAATTGTTCCTCGAATCAAGCATGTTCTTTATTAGATAACTAGAGACCCGAATCTGTTAACAGGGGTAGACATTAAGGGTAAAATGCCACTGGCCCTCCGGGCCGGTGGAATTGTCTTATCACTGGCCCCACCATTGTAACCACTGGCCCGGAGCATTCATCCAAAGAAAATCGACTTATAATGAAGAAAATGAACACATTTGTTGCAGTAGTAATTTATGCACAAACTACATTACTACTTGTACTACAACATTTGAATCATCAGTTCTTCTTCATTTCCTCAATTGTTCATATTTGGTTTATTAAAATAATGATATTGTGGTCATTGTTAAAAAATGACAGCTATTATTATGAGTATTATTATTTGTATAATGCGCTTTCTGCCTTCCTGTCATTAGGAGTTAGAAATGTAATGGCTATGTAATAGATTAGATTAGAAGCTTCATTATCCTAAACTGCTGGGACATTTCCCTAAAGCCAATACCTTTTATATTTTCTACTCTTCACTTACTTGTCAGCATAGGTCGGCATTGATGTATAGAGCCGACAGAAGACCTTGTTTGTATTGGCATCATATTGAGAGGTGCAGTGACGTGTCCTAAAACCAGGAAGTATAAGCTGCTGGTTTCCTCGACAAAAATCTATGGGATTTCTCCACAGGGTTTTGGAAAATAGCTGGGAATAAGGTCTGTGGAAAACGAACCTGTTTGATAAATGCACGTTTTGTTCAGCCGGATAATCTCCACATGTCTATCCTACTTTTATA